ACAGTGACACACACACAAAGTGCAATCTGCTGCCAACCGCAATATGAACTTTTTGCTTTTTCCGTGCTTTTGCTTTTGCTACAAGAAATGGAAAAGCGAAAAGAAATCCTGCCCGCTGCGCTCAGAACTCGAACCGTCGACATCTGGCGATGTCGTTTCAAGTTGAAAATTTGCAAACAACCCGAAAGACGCACAGAAATTATATTATATTAAGTTGAGGTCCTCGAGGGCACATTATATAAAATAAATATGGGATAAATTGAAAACCGAAAATGCTCTGTTAACAGGAAAACGGGTTCGAAAAAGTTTCAATTTCATTGAACATCTAAATTAGATGTCCAGCTTTTTCTGCATTTTGCCAATAAAAGGTAATCATAAATTAATTTCTATAAACTTTTCTTGCTGCCACACAATATTTCCTCTTTTTTCCCATAATAACTTTTACACATTGTGGATGCAGCATCCATTTTCATGTTCCCTGCAGTGAGCGGCAACCTTTGCGCGAAAGTAATTTTACCCCGGGACAAGGTCAGTGAGGGAAATCGCACAACTTTTTTGCAGGGCAGGACATAAAAAAGTGAAATTTAAGCCACACACGCAGAGCACAAGACAGACGACAGTTTTGCGCCAAGGCCAAAGGACTCGGGATTCGAGTGTGTGAGTGTGTGTGCCACATGCACTCACTGACACCCCCACTTACACACACACACCCATCCACCCACACACACTGTGTTAAGTCAGCTGCCGCCATTTTGTAGCCATTTTATCATGGCCAACAAAAGCGGCTTACAGCCTCTCGTTGTCTCCTCTTATTTTCATTATTTTCTGCTTTATTTCTTCTTGAAGTTGATGAATTTTACTCACGCTCAACGACCGTCTACAAAGTTATTTCAGCCCCTAATTTGGGAGGGTGGTGTGTTTGAGGAGACTCGACAACTCGAAAAGCCGAGAATACGTCACTTGATTAGCCGCACGGCAATTAGGCAAATTGGCAGGCTGCATTTTAAACTCCCACATGCTTATCGACTTTGCCTTTGATTAGCCCCCCCCCCCCCCCCCCCCCCTCGAAAAGGTGGCAACAGGAAGGGCTCTCAGGCGTAATTACATTAACAATTCCGAAAACATGGCCCCAAAAAACCCCGAGTCGTCGGCCAATGTCACTCACTGCTGGGCATTCAATGTGGCACGAAACGTATCCATTATTCAGGACGTGGTGCAAACAACTCGACCGACAAGCCAACATCGTCCTCCTGCGTGTAAGACGCAGTGCCTCCTAGAGTCCTGGAAGTATAGGGGCCATGCACCATATACGACCCACAACCCACCACCCATCACCACCCACACATTCCATGGCATACGCACAGCATATTTGGCTTGTGAACTTGCCTACTAACCTTGTGTGCATGTGCCATGCAATTGGCCCCAGGATAACCCAGCCATAATAACAACAACGGCAACATCGTCAACAACTACAACTGCAACAACAACTGCAAGGATGTGCAAACATGGCGAGGTCCTTTCGACTGCAATGGCATCGGTGGAATTGGTGTGGTGGTGGCCAGTGGAGTTGGCCTGTAATTAAAGTTCCCCCTGTTGCCATTCCCGATAACCGAATGGCGACAGGTACAGTCGCGGCAAAAGCAGTGCAGCTGAGATCATTAGCTGAACTTATTATCTAAAGTAATGATTAAAACTCTTATTAAAAATAAGTAATTATTACAATATTAAAAAATAAATAGCCCTAATAAACAAAATAACTAATGTTAAACAGAAGTAATGAATCTTAAAAAACCTTTTTTTAAGAATATATACACTGAACGTTTGATAGATCAAATATCATCACTATATTCTTATATTATTAAAACCTTATTCCCTTAGCAAAGATAGCCAGGACTTTTTACCCACCCTAATTATCCCGAAAGAAATTTAAGACCAAGCCTTTCTGAAAAACTAAGTTCTCGTTGCCATAGAAATCGCGAGCTTGCCTTCTCCAATAGAAAACCCTTTTTGACGTCAATTTCACATCTCATCCCAACGTGAAATGCAATTGCATTCTCGGTTCCCTTTGACAAAGAACACAAGCCCAAGAGGCAGGCGAAAAAAACCGAGAGCGAAAGATATTGTTCACCAAAGTTATCGTTGGCTGCGCATCGCTAACAAAGTACAGTGTCGGCGGCGTGACCAATGACAGCCATGTTTCCTGCATCAGAAGTTGCACAAAGTTGTCGCTCAGATGCATTCCAGCCCCATCCCCACACCCAAGGCCCAGCCACCATCTCCATCCACATCCACATCCCTTCGAGCCACACACAATTCTGGCCACGTTTCCTCGTTCTATTTCTTTTGCCCAACTGCCGAGGCTCATTGGCTTTTGAGTAACACACGGTGAAAAAATGATAGATCTTAGGGGTTTACAGGTTAAAACAATAAAATATACTTTTGAACTGATGTTTATAGTTTTTAAATAAATGGTATAAGGTATCTGTATCTTAAAGAATATGTAATACAAAATATATTAAAAAAAATATCTTTTTTATCTTTAAAATTTGAAATCTTAATAATGTCATTAATTAACATTAAATTAGGGGTATATGGTATATTTTAATAAAAACAAATATATGGAATATATCCTATGGGTTTTACATTGGGAATCCCATTTTACCTGTCATTTTGAGATATAAGATTTGTAATATAAGGAACGTATCTTTAACTTTAAGTATATTTAAAAAAAAAAATAATGTGTACTAAGGTTTCTACTTGGAAACTAAAACACATTTGAAATTAAAATTGAGAACTAGACATCTTATAAATTAGTTAATACTTGCAATAGTTAAGATCAAGTTTATTTCACTTTTAGCTTTAAATACAAAGTTTGAATGGCACTGACTGCCGTTTTTCTCAGTGTACGACTTTGTGTGCGGGGGTTTTTGTTTGGTGGCCGCCTGCGGCTGGCAAAACGACAAAATGTATGCTATGTTCCGGCTGAATTGCAGATTTTCATCCTCCGGCGCCCAATCCTCTCGCACGCACACAAACACATCGCTTACTCCCTGCGCCTTTATGTGCAAAAAGGGGGAATCCCCTTTCGCCGTAGATTTCACTTTGCTCGGAGCTGCGAGGGGAACACAGTGTTTTGCCATTTGGTCGCATATTGCTAATGGAAAGGAGCCTCAACCTCAGGCTCAGACGTATACACCTGGACCATTGGATGGGCTGGAGGATTATCCCCGCCATTTCCCGACATACTTTCGGGATCATATCTAAATTGAAAAAGTTATCGCTGCCGTGTGTCAAATGTGTCGCTGTCGCCTTTTATTTACATTTTATTTTCATGGCAAACGTGAGTTGAGGGCCCCAAGCCCGGGATAATCGATTCAAATCGATGCGCCAGCTGAAATCCGCTCACAATACGCCGACATTTCGCCAACATTTCGCTGACAGCCGGCTGTCCGGCAGGCAATAAACAAAAATAATGTGCCCCGCTTCCAGGCGAGCTACATAAATTATAACATTAAAGACACCCCCGAAAGGCATAAAAATCTTATTTATTCACCGGAAATCGCTGCGTCGGACTTTGGTTTCCCCCCTTAGATAATTCCCAGCCATAAATCAGGGGGCTCAATTGCAGAGTTTGGGGTCTGATATTAAAACCTGCCTAAGCTAGACTGTCGATTATCTGAACCAAAAAGCGTCCAAAAACCAGCCATTAATGACTGTTGAATCTTAAACTTCGAAGCCAATAGGTCTCCGGACGTAGCTCATTAGGTATTGATGCCCTCTCATGTGAAATAATTGCCGTAGTTGTGCATTAGCATTTAATAATTCATGGCTGGTTGTCCGTCTCCGTGTGGATGTGTGCCTGTGTTTGTGGGCCAACAAAAGTCAGAGCCGTGTTGGCGTTGAGGCTATTAAGTCCAGGCAATCAGGCACAATGTGTAAGCCCAATTGGCTTCACGGTATGGCCCTGCATGTGATGTTCAATGCGCCTATCATCGCCATGATAATCCAGATGAACCAATCGCATGCAGTTGATTGATAATCGTAGCCAGTTGATTTTCAGTCTCCAAAACACAATGCAGATACACAAATTGAGTTTCTTGCTGTTTTGGATTAGGAAGTAGATAATATCTACTTGTTTTTCATTATTGAAAAATATTATTTAATATTTTCATTGGATTTTATAAATTTATTTATATTTGATTGATAATCGTAGCCAGTTGATTTCTAATCTCCAGAACACAATTTCAGATACACAAATTGAGTATCTTGAAATTATGGATTAGAAAATAGATAATATCTAATTATTTTTCATGATTGAAAAACATTATTTTATACTTTTATTAGTTTTTGTACTATAAAATAATTTTATATCATTAGTTTTCCTTCGTCTTACCACTTTATCATTAATATTCCATTTACTCAAATCATCCATGTTTTAAAATTCCATTTTATTTTTCAGAATAAACTTTAATTTACAATATTCTTTATTAATTTGTTTTATTACTATCATAAATTTATTTATTCAACTTTTCACACATACCATTTAAAGTTAGCTAATATTTTGTTTTTTAAAAAGCATTTAAAGCAATTTCTTTGTATGCCTAAATTAAAATACATTTCACAGGAACCAAAAATTGCCAATACACATTAAAATCTTTCTTGTTGTGTAAAATTGGTAAATAAATTAAAATATATGAAAGCTTGTCTATACACTAAATAAATGAGAAGATTATTAGGCTTACTACAAAATAAGATGATTTAATGTAGGTTTAATGCTTTTAAACTGATCACAGCAAATTGTTTTGAATACCCAAGAAAGAAAAACGGAGCAAAGTAAATATTTAGTTAAATTTTAAACATTCTAATTTTGTTTTTGTTTTGTAAATTTTTTCTAAACATTTTAGTTTTAATTTTTAGTTTCAGTTGACTTTTCTTTATATTTACAGAGAGGTTTTGTTCAAATATTTTGCTAAAAAGTTATCCAACTTGGTGCTAAAAACTTTACTCTCAAGATAATAACTGTTTTTATTAATTCATTGGTAACAAAAAATATATGTATATTATAGCTAGTCACAATAATTGTTAGGTCTATAAACAGTTTCAGTTTAGCTATTATCTCTATTTTTTCGAGTTCACAAAATGTTTCTTTTGGTACCAAAAACTTCAACGAAATGTCTTAACTTTTTACAATTGATTTCATGGACGTGAAAGGAAAGTTGGACTTCTGGCTCTGAATCCTGGCTCGTTCCTTCTGTGAGTTCTTCTGGGCTTGTGTGTGTGCGTGTGTGTGTGGGTGGGTGAGTGTGATGCTGTGTTTGTGTGGGTGGAAGGATATGTGCTCGTGTTTGTGTGGGTGCGACGCTAGTCGATGTCAAAACGTTGCGCCTAGAAAAGTTTGCGTTGTTATTAGTTTATGGGCGTGTCAGTGTGTGTGTGTTCGTGTGTGTGTGGGTGTGTGTTTAGTGTTGTTACATTTAAATTAAATTTTAAACTAGGCAACAAATTGAATTTGTTGAGTATTTTCATTTTCCCCCGTGCTGATGTCCTTCTTGTCTTTTCTATTTTCTTTTTGGCATTCTTCTGTTCTTACTGCTAAATGAAAGTTTCATATTCTTAGCATTTCTCACACTGAACTTTCACTTATTTAGTTGAGTTTTTTGGGGCCTTGGTCCAAAAAGGAATTACTAGTAGGCGGTGCTTTATAGGTCTTCTCGGTCAGCCGGCCAGTTTTTGCTGGATATGCATTTAAGTGGATCTTTGGCAGGCCTTAGACACATTCGGTGCCGGGTTCATAGAGGGGATTGAGGGACTAAAAAAAGAGAGGACTTTATTAGTATGAAATCGAAAAATAGTGAATAAAAATACGACTTAGGCAAAGGAACATTATTAAGTCTAAAACGAAATTATATACAAATATTTAGATACAACTTAAGCAAATGAAAATGTTTAAATCTAAATATATGTCAAAATGAAGAAACTATATATCTGTTCTTATTGATAAAGCCTCGTAAAAGTTTTTAAATTCAAAAATGAAACAAATTATAAAATAAAAAAACTTATTATTTAAAATTAAATTATAATCATGTCGTATGCTAAAAAGGCTTGCTCCTAGTTCGCTTTAAAATAAACTTTTTGGTAAAAATATTTTGCCAAATAATAATAACCACTAAATAGCAATAAAAAAGAGATTTGCCCACAACACTTTACCAGCGGCGATATTTAATTATAAACCTTAATGAAAACAGCCGACCGCTAAGCCTGTGGCCTGAATTTTCAGTAAACCGAATCGCCTGCTTATATGCAAATTATGATGTTATTTATTGGTTGCCAGGCAAACAGAAAATCTCTCTTAATGCCATTTTGTTTAATTTTGCGTAATTATTGTTATGCATTGTTGTAGGCTTCCGCCTGGATTTGTCTTATTTTTTAACGTTTCAATTAATTAACCGCTTTAATTAAAATTGTCAACGAAGCAGCTGCAAAAAGTGTCAAGGTGGGGCGAACCAAAAAAAATAAATCAGCTAATTTAATTGAAATATTTTACTAAAATGTCCTGCGAATTGAGTCGCTTTATGTTTTAGTTGGGCAGCTGTCGAGATGCGAAACATTTTGACGCTCCAATGACGCCATTTAATTGGCCTTTTAGTTAATTGGCCAATTGATATGCATATTTTGATTGCATTTGCAGCTCTGCAATTAGCGAGACCCACGGGCAGCGAATTCAAAGAGCACGCATTTCAAAGGGGGGCAGTAAAATGCTCAAATCGATGCTAAATTAAATTAAATTAAAGTGCAATAAAATGATAATTAAATTGTGCACATGAGACAACAATTATGTAACATAATATGCCAATAATGTTCTATTAGGTATTTTATGACCACAACTTACCGTTTTTTTAATATCTAAATTGGCACCGTGATTTCGTTCGCTCGCGGCATTTAAATTCAAAGTAGTTGGAGAAACGAACTTGGTTAAAACGGGGATTCAAAACTTGCTACTTTCACAACAATTTCAGGACTTATATAACTAATCTTAGCCCTAGATAGGTACAACTATGATACGAGCACTTAGTCATCTATGTACAACATTAACTTAGCACCTAGCAGCCCCATAACACTAAAACACTCCCTAGAACCTGACATAACTAAAGTCGTTAGGATTCGTGGCCATGGGTGGGGCCGAACCGCTTACCTCCTCCTCCATGGCAGTGGCGTACATATGCGGCGTTACGTTCTTCTCCAGTCTGAAGTGATCCTCCGTGGTCTTGTGGTACACGGGATTCTCAAAGTTCATCGAGTTCACGGCCCGCGTGCAGCGTCGATATACGACAAATATTACCTGTTTATAAACAATATATTTATATTTTTGTTACCTGAATTAACTATCTGTTTTTAGCTGAACTTACGCAAGCCGCTAAAGCTGTGCTGGTTAGACCGCATATCACAATTATAGCTATTTGGCCGTAATCCTTCTCTGGTTTTTGGGCAGACTTATCGACCTTGTCAGATGTGTCTGTGCTATTGCCACCGGTTTTTGCTTCAACTGTTTAAAGAGATAATAAAAAATTCACAAAATTAGAAAAGAATAATGTAACTACTAACAACCAAACATACATCGAAGCATTATTGGTGAAGAATGAAATTATTATGAAATAATTATTTTATAAATGTAATTAAAAACCATTACCACCTATTAAAGATTCTTATAAAACCCCCTGTGGATTTTCCATGAATTCCAATATCAAAGGCAGGCTCTGAACATTTTCATAATATATGCCTCCCCAAACATCTCCCCGTTTCCCCATAATTTCATAATTCCTATGGCCAAATATAATTAAAATGTTGTCTTTCTGGGAGCTTGGGAATGGGCAAAAAAAAAAGAAGAAGTAAACTCGACGACGACTACATCCCGTGGCGAATATTTCCGCTTTTGGGGTTTCCCTGGCTTGGCTTTTATTCAGTGCCTTTTGCTGTTGTCCTGGCAGGAAGTTGTAGGATTTTTCCGCTGTCATCATAATTCGTTTTCATATTTTTCCGTTTAGAATTTGTTCAACAGCAGAAAAAAGCGCACAAAGTTGAGGGCAGGAGGCGCGCGTTCGTCTGGCAAAGGATATGCGGCGCTTTTTGGCGGGTCCTCGAAATAAATCCCCCAACCCACTTACCCATCCCCAAAAATATATACCCACTTGCTATTAATTTTTGCCCTACGAGTGTCCAAAAAATGGAAGGAGGGGTTTCTGGATTTGGTCGAGAGCATGTGGCAGGGAATTATCATTAAAAGTTGATAGCGGCAACAGATGTGCGGCATCGATTCTTTGGGAATTTTCGGCGTAGGCGCGTTAAGATGCTGTGAATTTATTTTGGCGGCATTAACAGACAGTCAAATGGCAGGGCAAACATCCGAAAAGTTGCACGTTGCTCTGGCATATTAATTGCACGAATTCCTTTTGGTTTAAGTGTGTGAATGTTTATCTTCTTGGGGGTGAAGGCGCCAGAAACACCAGCTGTTGCTTTATAAGTTTGTTTTCATTTTTTGTCACAGCCTTGGGGCTGAGTTTAAGTTTATTTTTGGCTGTACACCCGTTTATTTGTTAAATAAATAAAAACTCAGATTTTAACTACCTCAGATATTTGAACTATAACTTTTGTTCTATCGAAAGTTGAAGCATGAGCTTCTGAAATTTACTCAAGCGTTTTTATTCATTTTTATTCTAAATAACATTTCTGAAAACTCTTGTATTCGCCAACTGTTTTGACCCATTTTGAAAAAGATTAATTTATTTCTCTGCCAAAAGTGCTTCACAAAATTTGCATTTGTATATGTGGGGCACATCTCTACAGTGTGGTTTTTGTGCTTGCCTATAAATGTCATATATTATTGCGCACTTCTAATCTATACAAAATGCAATTTCCGTGCTTCCAGCACACACAGACATTCGGATGTGAAAACATATAACAGAGAGTTATGCCTCATCGCCCATTTGTATAATCCTGCACATGTGCTCTCATATTTATTTCGAAACTCCAACTCAGGATAACGCATAGCAGGTGCTCAGGACCCCCTGGAATCCCCCTAAAAAAACCCCCTACGATCCCCGGCCAACGGAAGTGCCATAAAAAGTATGACAAAATGGCTGCCGTGCCACAATTTTCCCTCCCAAATGAAATAAAAACGCATAAAATATGTTCCGTCACCTGTTTTTGGGGAACCCAAAGAGAGAGGGGATCTAAACAGATTAGATAAACCGACAAAAAAGGAACAAGTTTCAAAGTTTTATACGAGAAAGTCAAAAATGGTTTGGCATGAAAATAAACAAAATGGCGGCTTTGCGGCCCCATGATTCTGGTATTTTTGACCCCCATTGTAGCATTTCCTCACTTCGGAGGCAATATGCAGTAAAGTTAGAGGCGGACAATAACAATTGCCGGACTGACCGAAGTGCAGGCAAATGAAAGTCATAAAATGCTGCAAGGAGCAGCAGCAGCTGTTCACCCAGTTTTTCCCGCATTTTCCCCGCCATTTCCTCGCTTTTCCACGGGTTTTCCTCCACTTTTGCCTCCCATTTTATGTGGCCAGCTATTAAAAACGCAGTCGTTACTTCGACGGCTCAAAGTTTATGGCTAGTGGGGTCTGTCCATCTGGATTTCGTACCGCCATTTCGCCGCCCTCCTCTCTGTGTGTGCTCTGTGTCTCTCTGGGGTATTTGCGAAACTTTGCCTGCGCTTAATTAAGCAATTTGAAGTGGGCAAAGATGGCCATAGAAAAAGTGGCACAGACCGCTAATTGAAATTGCAGTTATGCTGGGCTGGACCATCTAATTGAAATAGTCCCTAACTAGTTTATAGTTATTTACTGACCCGCGACTTTCCACCCCCCCACTTAGTTTGCTTAAGCCCTCTCTTCTTGGCCGCAAATGTGTTGGCCAAGTCCAGAGTCCTCGACCTTCGACCCCTCCCCCTGTTAGCCAACCACTATGACTTCTTTAAATTGGCGTAATTAGGCGCAATTGTGTGGGCTTCTCGCTAAGCTTCTTCAGGAAACTTGGTTTCACCCCGTAGGCATGACAACGTTTTAAAGCTCCCGGAAGTTGGCCCACTTTTCACTTCTAAGCCGGCAGGACAACGAAAGAGGATAACGACTGCCAATGGTCGAGATTTAAAAGGAAATCTTAAAAACTAGAGGCTTTATTTTACATCCTGTGTGGTTTGCTAATATGCTTCTCAAATTGCGTATTTTTAAGAGATTTTTCAGGATTACTAATACTAACAACATTACTGTTATAAAAAATAAAAATATCTTTCACTTGTTAAAGTAATTTTATAATTTCTAGTAAGGCAAGACAGCTTGCTTATCAAAAAACAAAGCATTTTTCTTCTCGTTAAAAATTCAAATGTCTTTATCATGCCCAAGGAACCGAAGAAAATACCCTTTATTGGCCTCATTTATTCCCCAAAAAAAGGAGGCACAAATTCGGTTGCCACAGCAAAAAAAGAAATATCTTTCTTCGTGCCGCTTTAGCTTGTCGTTTTTAGTACTGTTCAATTTCACATTCCCATTGATCAAAGTGCGTCTGCTAAATTTGGGTTTATTAAAAATAATGATATGGCATTTAGACGAGACACACCCGAACAATTCTAATTTAAATCAATGGCTTCAACAAAACGGATGAAAACGGCACTGCATGCAACAGAAATCGAGAAATGGAGAAATGGGCTTTGCGGTCCGACATGTTTTTAGGGATAAACCGCCGACTAGATGGGTAGTAATTCACTTTTGCCACACGGCCAACGCAAATATTTCACCTCCCCCGTCGAATGTCGACAGTTCGAGGAGGTGTTGACAGTGCCAATTTGCTGGGAGGATCACAATGCTGATGATGATGGCGATGATGATAGTACGGGGGCGATGACGAATTTCTGGTTAAACTATTTGCCATGCTCCATATCACTCCGCATGTGTGGGTGGCCGTTGCTTATGTACAATTTAATTTCATGGCGATTTGTTGACGACTGCCGCTGAAATATCCCTTCTACTGCCTCTGCCCTTGCGGTTGTCAGTCGTTCATCATTCCGTTACGTTACGTTACGTCCCCATACCATACCATCCCAAACCATCACATCCCATACCATACCATACCATACCAACCCATCCGAACCCATGTCCCTTTTGTCACAGAGCAGTTCGCAAATTGCACGGACAAATTCTGGGTTCGGAGTTCCCGATACCAGAGTCCCAGAGTCCCGAACCCGGGATATATAAGTCGGCAGAGGGAATAGCTCTGGGAATCAGTGGGTGGTGGTCCTATGTCCTGTTGCCATTAAACATGTCACCAATGCTTCCCTTTTGTGGTTTTTGCACAGTGTGTGAACCCGATATTTATGTTTTACGCTCCGCACTTTGCATGAGGATTTGGGCCAAAGTTCATGTGGATGGTTGGGTGTGTGCATTTTGAGTGATTACGTCGATATCATTGATGTTGATTTATGATGATGACGATGGCTGTATATATCCGTAAATGCTTCTCGAGAAATTGTCGCGAAAAGTGTCAAATGAAATTAAAACGCCGGGGAAAAACAGGTGAAAGTGTTGTTTACAAGGACATAAACACACGTGAGACAGAGGAACTTAAATAAAACCAACACCAGATAAGGTAATAAAAAAAAAGAAAATCCGAGGTGATTTTCAATACTTTCTTGTCGTTAGGGCTCGTAAATCTTTCTCTGAGAGCAGTAATAAATATGTTTAAATTTTACTGAATGTGGCAAACACTTCTTGTTTAAACTATGTAATTATATTTAAATGTAGTTTTTGGTTAAACGTAAAAATGAAAATTTTAATTTGAACTTTTAGGGGAGTTTTACGAGCCCTACTTTAACCCTAGATAGCCACCACCATAAAGTTCGTAGTAAAGTGTCGCATACCCGGCGCTTCACTGTGCGCATCTTGAGGTAGTTTTGTGGTTGAGATGGACGACTGGTTGGTTGCCCGGTGGCTCGGTGCAGTGGGCTGCACACTTGGGATACGCACTACAAACAAAGGGTAAATTTATAGATATAATGACATTCGAAAAGGTGAAAATGCAATTCAGTGAAATGCACAGTGCAGGGGGCCACTTAAAAGGCCGCAACCGCAACAGGAAAGCCGTTCTGCACGACTATATACATATATATGCATTCACGCTTCGATTTTCAGTCCGTTGGTCAGGTGGACCGCAAAATGCAGCCATCGAGGCGGACGTTTCAAATGCAATTACGGAATCCCCCCGTTAAATGCCCAAAGAACACACCGTGGAATCTACTTACGATCTTCGACGCACATGAGGCCGTCGGGCATCAGTTTCAGGCCCGTGGGACAGGCGCAGGATATGCGAGGACTCCGCTCGTTAATCCTGGGAGCTGGCAGGCAGAGATGAGAGCAATGGCCATTCACCGACTGGCAGTGGTTGACACCGTCGGGTTGGCGGTAGGGGTGGTACACATGCACCACCATCGGATGTTCCAACTGCAATTAAAATTCGTGTGAATTAGCAGAGGTTGAAATGGCTTAAGCCTCAAATTAGGTCCGATTTCTCAATGTCGCGTTAAGGTTCTAGTTAGCTATCTATCACAGAAAGCTAACAAGAAGTTAATTTGTTCGTTTTTAGGCAGATGGGACCTTACGTGAAACATCATATTATCTGTAACAGTAATTTAACTTAAAAACAAAAGCAAAGAGGTATTTCGTCCTCTCGTTAAACGATTGTGAAAAAATGAACTTATTTTACTTAAAATAGCAATTTAAAAAAATTATCTTTTAAATTCTTGGAACACTTCCACGACATGAATAGTTCGGATAAGAAATTATGTACTATATGTCATCTTTACTGAGTTTTACTCAAATTTCGCTTTATTCCGATTAAAAAAAAACCCACAAACCGTACAAGCAAACACTTGGTACCGGAAATTTAAGAGATATAAATATCAGAGTTTGGTCAGGGCCTGGGTATTTGGAATATACTATTAAACAAGAAGTATTATCAGAATTAAGTGACGAATTTCTTGTTACTAACTTATTATGGTTAGTAACAAGTATTACATTATTTATATATATCTATTATTTAATAATAATATTTCATGAATAAAAAGTAGACCTACCATATGCGCTGTGACAGGCTGCACTTCCTGCCCGTTGAACTTGTTGGCCTTGAAGACGGTCTGTTTGTCCCAGTCGGTCCAGTAGATGTAATCCTCGAAGGTGGTGATCGAGAAGGGATGCTTCAGATATTCGCTGGAGTACAGCACCTGTCGCCTTTGCGAACCATCATAGTTGGCAGACGAGATGGAGTTCAACTTGCCATCCACCCAGTAGAGGCGTTTCTGCACCAGATCCAGAGTGATGCCATTGGGCCACTTGACATCGTAGCTAATAATGGCAGTGCGATGGGAACCATCCATTCCCGCTCTTTCAATGCGAGGAGAGGCACCCCAATCAGACCAGTACATCCAGCCATCAATGGGATCCAGGGCAATGGAACGTGGAATGTCCAGCGCGTCCTGCACCAGGACCTTGCCCATGCTGCCCTCGAAGTTGGTCAGTTCGATGACGCACTTCTCGGTGTCTGTGTAATACACATGGTTGTAGATCCAATCCACGGCCAGACCATCCGAGGTCACCGAGGATTTGGTCAGCACCACAGTCTTCTCACTACCCTCATCGATGGGCGCCTTGTAGATGCTCTTCGTGGACACATCGCTCCAGAAGATCATCCCCGTGCGGAAGACAAAGTCCAGGGCAGTGGAAGCCTTTGTACTATTCACTATGGACGTCATTTCCGGTCGATCGAGTGCTATCTTACGGATGTCATGGCGTCTGGCCAGGAGCAGCGAGGCATGTCCTTCGCTGGCCTTGCACCTGGTGTGATTCCTCAGCAGTCGCATGTAGCCCGCCTCGCATTCGCACTTGAAGGCCCCAATCTCATTGACGCACACCTGGGAGCAAATCCCGGGGGTCTCGCACTCATCGATATCAACACAGGTGCGCTGATCCTCGGCCAATTTGTAGCCATCGTGACAGACGCAGCGGTGGCCCACAGCCAGATCCTCGCACTGGTGCATGCAATTGCCATTATCCGAGGAGCACTCATTGATGCCACACTTGCCAGCGGGCTCGTCCTCGCCATTCGGACAATCCTTCCTCCGGTCACAGACCTTCGAGAGGGGAATGCACTGTCCTCCTCCGCAATCGAATTCGCTGGTCGAGTTGCAATCCCTTGGCGTCCTATTGATATGGCAGTTCTTCTCATCACTGCCATCCGAACAGTCGAACAGTCCATTGCAGGTCAGCTGGCCAGCGATGCAGCTGCGATCGTCGCACTGGAACTGATCTGGACGACAGGATATGCTGGGGCAATTCTCCGGCGACTCGTCCTCGCCGTCGGTACAATCTGCCTCGCCATCGCAAACCCAGGATCTGTGCAGGCAGGTTATCATATCCGAACACTGGAACTCGGATGTCTGGCATACGGAGGTGCTGGTTGTGCAGTTTTGCTAAAAGGAGGGTAAAGAAATAGAAAAATAAAATATATAAATTAAGATACTACAAAAGATTCCATGCTTAAGGCTACGTTTTCGTCCTTAAACGGAACATTTTTTGAGAGATGAATCTGTGCGCGTGGCGGGGATAAAGGAAGTTAACTTTACTGCTGCTACAACAGTTTGCTTTTCTTGTTAAGTGCCAACCAAATATTCAGGCAGCTAAGCCCGGTTCACAAGCACACATACACAAAACACACACACACGCGCACACGCAAGTCCTTATGCACCAGCACGCGCACACATATGTACACGAAATACATATATAGTATAGGTCCCTGTGGGCATTGCCTGCATTTTTTGTGTTGCATACTTTTCAGAGATGCCAGAAAGCATTTTCCACATTTCATACGCTTTGTTCAAAGGGGTATCGGTGACTTTTTATCGATTATATAGTTTATGTACACAAGTTTAATGGTATTTATTTCTACAACTAATATTAGACGTAAAGGGGTTTTAAATTTGGCTTAGTTTTCTAAGAACAAAACTAATGAGTAATATATCAACTTATTTCTGACTTATGTTGGAAAATAGGCCAGTTTTAAATTTATAAGCTATCTGCCAATAATAAAAACCCATATTTTGTTCAATATTTGGACCATTAAAATATTTCAAAAATATCTTTTTCATAAATCTTAATAGAGCATTAAAGCTGCCATCTTTACAGATAGTTTTTCCCACAGCTTTTATTGCTATTCGGTGGCATGCAATTTCGGGCACCACCCTACTGACAACAAAAGCCATGCGTCATACATATAAATGTTTATGGGAAACAGTTGCCGACATGGTCCTCGTCGTCGTTGCCAGTTTTGAATAATGCTCGCGTCTTGCATAATTTATGCCTCCTAGCTCGCTTCATATAAATACATATTTATATGCGAGGGCTGTTAAACAACTTACTGTGTGTGTGTGTGCATGGTAATGTATGTGTGGTTTGATAATGTGCCCCTATCAATTTTCATTTCAGGTTCGAAGCTGAGCATTTACCAGGAGTTTTGCCTTTGTTTTTATATTAAAATTAAAATAAATATCTTTTCCCATTTTAATTTTTAATAAATTTGAATTTTTCCTAACTAATATAATACTTTTGTGAACTCACCCTCTCATCCTCTCCAGTGTTACAGTCGTTTTCCCCGTCACAGACCCATTCCTTGGAAATGCAGGTGCCACTGGCGCAAGTGAAGGAATTGGGGCCGCATTTCGGTCTGTCCCCGCAGTCCTTTTCATCCGACTCGTCGCCACAATCGTCGTCCTGGTCGCACTTGAAGCGGTTCTGGATGCAACGTCCATTGCCACAGGTGAACTCATCCGAGCGACACGTTCTATCTGCACAAAGTTCAATCCCATGATTAGCTTGATTCTTCGTAGGTTCGTTTGTGGGGGTGATTTTGATTAGGATGCATTTGTGGGATGGGATGAGGAAATGTTTAAGCCACAAAAAACAAGGCAAGGGGAAAAGCCATCACCATTACAATAAAAATTGCCAGCAAACAAACAAAGCGTATAGAAAGTGGGAGTGAAAGGGATGTGAAAGTGACAACAACAGCATCAGGGCAAACACAGCAAACTTAAGTGTTTCCTCTTTGGGTGTGTGCGTGTGTGTTTTCGTAAATATTTGTGCTCTATTGCATACCAGTTAAAGCATGGCATTACACTAGACTCAGGGAAATGTGTGCTTGGCACAGTCGAGTGCAGGGAGTCATAAACTATAGCATATACATATGGGGATAAATACGGATAAATAGCAGCCAACACCAAATAAAAGCATAGAAAAATCAAGGATAAATTCGGTTATTATGGCAACCACAACCAAGCAGGCTAAGAAACATTCAGTTATGGCTTACTGCACTGGGCCTCGTCGCTTCCATCGCGACAATCCTCGTTCTCATCGCACATCCAGGACAAGGGAATGCACTCGCCCTCGCCCGACTTGCAGGCAAACTGCTCGGGCGTACAAGTTGTGCTCCCTAAAAAAGATTAGATCAAGAAGGGTTACGTTTTAAAGGCCAATGTGCTGAAATATAGAAATATCTATAAACCAAACTTCGGAAAGCCGATGTATTTGGGTTTATTTTTAACATTGTAAAACTGTATTCCTATTTATAGTTCTTAAAATAATAATTATTTCGTCTCTCCTGTAATAAAAAGATAAGATCAATAAAGGTTACGTAATGAAATATAAACCATACTTTGAAAAGTCGACTTATTTGGGTTCCTGCGATAAAAAAATATTTCATTTTTGCTTTTAAGCTAGTAAAAAAAATCTCAGAAAAGGTAGGACACCTCCTCCAAGGCTATAACCATAAAGGGCCCCAGAAAAACTCACTAACAGCCTGGCTAATGGGATTTTGCCTCACTGAGATAGGAAACGCGCCTTAAAGTAGGCAACCGAGGGCTGTCCCTTAATTAAGTTTATAAGCAGCTGCCATATAAAGGGGGCGGGGCAGCAGCCGCTCTCCAAGTGATAAACATAGTTGTCATGCCAACACACACAGGCCAACTTATTCAGGCACAACCATTTGGGGGCTAAACAGTTGGCATTTTATCTAGGCAGTAATTAAGACATTATCAGCCAACACTCCATAAAGTTAAAACGCACACATGCGTATGCATTAAAGCAATTATCGCACGCACACACTAGCAGACACACGCACACACGCGCAGACTGGAAGTTCCATTGAAGTTATCCTTGGCAAAGGAGCGGACATTAAACAAAGCTGACAACACTCCCACACAGGCACACATTAAAACGCTTGTGTTTAACCCTTAATGCGTATTAGTATGCCGGTTCTTCGTGCTTTCTTTTGCTTTCATTCGTTTCCTCTCTCTCTCGCTCTCTTTCATTGCCTACCACGAGGTCCTTTGTTCCATGCCGTGTTCATATGTGTGTGTTTTCGCTGATAAGATTATGTCTATGTGTGTGTTAGCAATAAAATCTTATGGTTGCGCCACATATTTGAATATGCTTTTTGGCGTTTTGTCTACCGCTTCCTCTCTCCCACACTTTCTTCTTTCCCCACTTTCTTCCTTCGCTTTCTCCTGTCTATTTGTTTACCGTTTACACGTGCACAGCGTACGGCGGAAATTTCTGACATCGTTGCAAATAAATTAATTTATTATTATTCTCTTCTTGGCATTCGCAATTTTTGGCGGTTGCTTAGCATGTACAACGCGTCGTATGCGTGATATGCCTTTAATTGGAATTTACTGTGACCAGCTTACTGAATTTGTTCGTTGTTCACCAGCTGAATATTTACTGAAATTGCCAGGATGCCTCCGAAAGCATTCCGAAAATTTAGTTAAATTTTTTTTTATAAATTGCTATTAATAAATTTTTAAACTGGCGCTCCTGTTGTTTAGATTCGGAATTTAATTTGATATTTAAATGCAAGAACATCTCTTCTCTTCATTTGTATTAATATTAAATTACGCTTTATATTAGCCAAACTCTCTGTGAATAAATGCATTCAATTTCATTTTAATTAAGTACAAATGAAATACTATAATGGATTTTAGAATGAAAATTATTATTTTCCTGCAATTATATCTTTTAGCTTGCTCTGGACTTTTCTCATAATTAAATGGAAGCTGGAACATTAAAGCCATCACTCTGGTACAGCTGAAACTATTTCTCGATTATTTCGTTTTCGTTTCTTCCATGCCTCTGATATATATTCAATTATCCAATATCATTTTGCCAACCATAATTTATGGCTTCATTAAATTCTGCATCGTTGGTGAGGAAAAACATTCAACCGGGGGAGCTTGCGTATATGTATATAAAACTTTCCATTTTTATCCATTCGTAGGTAACTACTTGGCTGAACTGAATGGACGTTTCATTTTCATTCTCGTGTGTCCATGGGGACTCAGCAGCTTCCTTCTCGGCTTCGGCTTTTGTGAGTCCTGGCAGAATCAATTTGCTGTCGTGGGGTCACAGTCAATGGACCACCGAGGAGGGTCCTTCCACACACACACATCCTGGCACAGAACTTGGGCATTGTATTCAATAGCATTTTCTTGTTATCTGGCGCCAAACCCCATATACTTGCAATTTGATTTTAATTTTATTTAAAATGCTTTTTAGACCATGTACAAGTCATGTCCTGGTCAAGTGCAGCGGCCACGCCCCCCAGCACGCCTTCATCTCTCCTCCAGCACTCGAAAGCCAATGAAGCTTAATGCCTTTGTGGGGCAGTTTGCGTTTTGTTTATTGTTCACTACAGCCCCGCTTCGATCTTTTGTTCGAAGGGGAAACCAAGTTCCCCCCATAATGGTAAACAAAGATATGAAGAGTCCGAGTTGAGTGTTAAATGGAATTAAATAACGGGGCGGAGACCATAACGGGAAAGTATCAGTTTTAAAGGCGGTAATCCTTTGCAGTGAGCGGAACTTTTTGTGCCCCGAAAACCAAGTTGAATTAAGACTCACAAGGGTAACTGGGGAACTCGGTAACTTGGTGAAAGCAGAAATGTCAACAAGGTTTGATGACAATTTTAAAGCACATAAAAGTCATAAAAAGACAGCCATATCCATTCACATGAGCAGACGTGGCTTTATGCACACACAAAATACAGCTAACGTCAATACAATACCGCTAAAAGGTAAACAAAAACATCTGGCTATTCTCTATAAACAATATTTATCTATGGTGAACTTTTGTCACTTTCAAACGGTTCGAAAAATATTTGTTGACTGAAATATGATAATGAAAATAAGTGAGAAAATCATCTTTCGCAAATAGAATATTATTATAAATGTTATAAATTATATTTAACACAATATTTTCTCAGCATATAATTTCATTTGAGTTTAAAAATCTTGAAAATTTAATAAGAAGTCCCTATTATTTCGAACGCCACTGTAAATCCCGGCATCCTGGTAGCCATCCACTGAGCTACGAGTACCAGCGTATAAACCACAGGCTCAATTTGGCTCTGCGTTCGCTTTTTGATTACCGGTTTTTATTTTCATCAAGGATAACATCATAAAAATCGCATCATTTTTTCAATTACAGCGTTGAAATTCCGCCCGACATAAAAACATTTTCGCTACTTTCCTTCTACAGGCACTCTCCTGTATATAAGTAGTGTATATATATAGTGGGGAAATTGTGTGTCACAGACAATAAACCACTAAACAAGTTACTGGGCAAGAATAAAAAATGGGAAGGACTAAAGTGAAAAGCGGAAACTACGCCGAAAACGAAAAGAGAGGGAGCCTGAAAGCCTAATGCATAAATACAAATTAGTTCCGCCGATGGTCACGTCGCGATTTTGTCCGCAAGAAGTGACATTAATTTATGGCCTGGTCAGTCTGAGTCCCAGGCAAGTCATAAAGTCCTCTTGAGATCTCCGGGGCCACAGGGAGGACTTTCATGGGGCACGCATTTAAATTTCGATTAAGTGACTCCGCTTTTTTGGCTCGTTTTAGTGATGGACAAATCCTCCAGTTAGTATGCAAATGTGAGTGGGAATAATTCATTCTTTTTGCTTACTGGCACATTCCAATTCGTCGGATCCGTCGCGACAGTCCTCGTCGCCATCACAGATGAAATCCCTGTGTACACATTGCTCACCATTTTTACACAGGAACCTTGAAACGGAGCACTGACCTCCTGAACACATTATCATGTTTTAAAATATTTAAGTTAGGAACAAAATACCTATACATAAAATTCGACATGGATTCTAAACTGAATTTAAATGTTCCAATAAATTATAATTTATTTAGATTTTGTTAATACTATCCTTTTTCATTCCAAATTAAAGTTTTAATAAGATTTGATTTAAGTTTCATTGGTTTTGAAATTAATACGTTTGTGTTTCTAATTTAAAAATAAAACTTAAACCAAATAATATTTAAATAAAAGTCATAAATTTTTGTTTGTTTGTATACTGAAAGACTTAAGAGTTACATCTTTGGGATTTCGTAAATTGAAACAAATTTAATCTTGATCCCAACACTATCATTTCAAACCGATTTGCAAGCTTTTCAACTACATCTACCATCGTATATAGTCGATATCTACTGCTTATATCAATAATAATGGCTAGCACTTACGGCACTGGGCTATCGATTCGTCGCTTCCATCGGCACAGTCGTTTTCCCGATCGCAGACCCATCTTTGCGGAATGCATTTTCCGGTGCCGCAGCGGAATTGGTCCTGGCTGCAAGTCGATTCTGCAAGGGTAAATGTTTGAAATCAATTTTACATAACTGCCGGAGATAATGGCTTCGATAGAATATTCCCATTCCCATAAATATATATATGCACATTTATGCACAGCATGGCTTTCAAACTTTTAATGCTCGAATGGTTAAGTGTGTCAAAAAAATAAATGTGATTTTTATGTTCTTGCGGCTTTCGCTTCAGCTTTTGTTTCATGTTTTAGTGCAAATAGTTTTTCTGTCATTTTCCGCTTATTTTATTTTATGACTTTGCTCGTCAACAATGGACCAGAAAGTGTCCTTAAAGGGCTAACAAATATGTCGAATATTTAATAGAAGGAAAACAATTTGTTTGGCCGACTGAGTGATGGCAATGCAATTAAAGGATAAAAGGAATTCCTGATGAAGTTAGGTTCGGCTGGTTTAACAATTGACAGCAGAATGTTTTGTCGTCTGATGTTGAGAAAATCTATTTATTGATTGGCAGCCACAAAGTGGCAATATTGAAAGGTAGTGGGGAATAGCTCTTAAAATATTCAAGTTATTTAAAGGGCAATTAAACTTTGCTAAAAATGTTCTGAAATCTTTAAGGTTACATTTAATAATAATATCAAAGCTTTGGAAATAATTTTTTTTATTATAAATACTTTATAAAAACGTTTTCCCACAAACTTAATATTAAGTTCCCTGGCACTTTACATTGCTTCAACTCTAAATACATTTTCCCCAAGGAGTTTCCTAAACGTTGCACCTTTTGTAAGCTCTCCCACAAGAGTGCAGACAATTTGGCGCTTAATTCAAACGAATTCCTTTGAATGACATCTGCATTGGGTTCCGGATGACTTTAAGGGGATCCTTGGCTGCTCCGTCGGGTGAAGTTTCTCGACCCACCGGGCCGGGAGTCGTTGGCCATAAACTTAAGCGCAACTTTTGTGGCACTACCAAACTCCGGTAACCCCAAGCCCCAAGCCTCAAACTCTAAAACCCAAAACCCAAAAGCGGGACCCAAAGTGGAAGCCAAAACCCAGGGGACTCAGACATACAGCCGCCGCAGTGCGAAAAATGCGCATCACGTTCTGCGTTTTGCGTTCGGAGACCCGGGAAGTCGGAAAATGGGAAAATGTTCTACTGAATGGCGAAAACGTTCTGGGGCGTATTTACCTAGACAGCGGCATTTACCGCCCCAAAAGTGGAACATTAAAAAGGGGGATTAGTTTTACGCGGTCTGGTCTGGGTTATCTTCTGCTTCAGGTTTGATTTAGTCTGTGCCTAATGAGCAAAAAGCATCAACGAAGCTCAAAGGAAATGAGTTAAGTACGAGTATTTATAATCAAATTCTGGTTTATTTGTACTAAAATTCTTGGTAGGTAGTTTAAGCCTAAATAGCTGTGCAAATATATATAAATGATTTATTTATTGAACCATAAATAGTCTGTCATTGCCAGAAAATTACACACAAAATTAAGGACATTATCTACCCTTAGCTAACGCACAAACAGACATTCTTCACAAGCAATTTGTTTTCCTTTATTACACAGGAAGAAAAGCTAAGGTAAAAAAAAGTATATATATAAAGAGAAAAATAAACAAATTGATATGGGTTGTTAGGGATGTAAATATGGAAATCCAACTAGTCAGAGACATAAATCGAAATATATCTGGTAGTAAATCGAATTTTTATGCCACTAACATGCACTGAATGGCCTTTTTTTGGCTAGAAATACTATGTATACTCCCAAAATGTTGATCTTTGGTCAACAGTTAGCTGAAGTTAATGTATATCTAAAATAAATATATGCATTTTTTGTTCCTGTGCCTAAAAGCACTTTTCGCAGCTGCTTTGCTTTGCCACTTGCCACTTGCCACCCAGATGCAAACTTCATTATTTACAGTCTGCCGCGTCGCGACAACGTGGTGCAAAAGGTATGGGTTTTCGGATGGGTAGGAGGTTGCTTTACGAGTGGGCGGAAAATGTGGGCGGGTTCCAGCCAGACAGGCTCTTAATTCCCGTTGGCACAGGTGTGGGGGCAAAAGGACACCCCACCCACCCCCACTGCAGATTATGCAATTCATTTAAAGTGCTTTTCCCGCCGCGAGGGGAGAAAATCAGATGACACCTCGTGCGATAATGAATGTCACACCTGGTGGCAAATGTTTATTAAACTGCAGTGCAACACTTTGATTCCAGGAGACGCGGGGGCAATCACAAATTGAGGTTCCCAACTGGCGACAGCAACAAAAGTCAGACAAAGTCAGCCGACTTAGGCCAAAGCAAATACATCGAAAAGTTTTCATACAGAGACACCGAGAACTAACCTCTCGACAAAGTTTTGGTAACAATGCAGGTCCTTCTTCCACATCTTCCTCTTCTTCACCTCCTCCAGGACATCATCGGTCCCCAAGCTCATTTACAGGCCGAAAGCTTAGTGATAGAAAAAGTTGCCTTGTACTTGGGAAGTGTCCAAGGGAAATGGGGGAAAAGTTTCTGCGGTCATTCATCGATTTGGCGCATTAAAAGTTTTCTGATATTTGCCGTTTTCCAATATCCTTTCTCTGCTCTCTTCTTTTTGTGTAAATTCCTCTTATTTTGTAAAATTAATGCAAGGATTAAGTCTGCTTAAGTCATGACAACTTAAATATTTTGCAATTCTAATATTCACTTAAAAAAAAGAAAATCCATAGAAAAAGGATGAAACACTTTTATTGATTCCAGCGATTTTCTTTTGGGAACGGGAGGATGTCCTAATGAAGTTTGTCTGTCTGGCAGAGCATAAATTGAATTGTCCGATTCATTTAAACGGCGGAAGGAGAGCAAAAGAATAAAAAATAAAAAAGAAAAGTGAATTTAACTTTTGCCCCTTCCAAACCCACCTGACCCTCATCTTTTAGAGCCCCCCTTTACGCCTGTCTCGTCTCAATAAATAAATGAAAAATTTGTGCCACAGTTAGGGGGATTTTTCCTTTTTCACTGTTTACAATTGTTTTCCCCGCCGGTTTTTTATTTATTTATTTTTCTGCCTTTGTTTAGAGAAGTATCTGCTTCCGTACACAGCGGGTTGTGTCGTAAAAAAAAGGCTCGCCGCTTGTTGTTTATGGCACCTTTTTCCACTTTATTGAAGTTGTACTCCGCCTCAAGTATTTCAATAAAAAAAAGGAGCAGGCAAATGGGGAAGCCAAGGGTTTGTTTTTTTTTCTCCGGTCTGTGGTACATGATACAATGTCGGGCATCATAAATCATTCCCTGAAAAAAAACAAAACCCTAATGAGGCAAAGTTTTATGTTTCATGTAGGCCGAACCAGCCAATGTTGCTGAAAATTGGAATGTGCAACAAATGGCCTTGCAATCGCACTTTAAATGTTTGCCAATTTATATGTTAAATAAACTTGTTTCGCGAAAGCGACGCAAACAAATTGATTTTGCGGATTGGAAGAAGGAGGAGAACTGGTGCCGTGAAAAAAACGAAAAGTAATTCCCATTTCTGTGGATTCCTGGCCAACTTAGGATCGAGGCAATTCGATGGATTGCTGCGCTTAAAAATGTGCGGAATACATAATTTATGGCTGTCGGGGAAGGACACGGATTGGGGAGGACACCCAACAAGGCCAAGGACCAAGGACTAAGGACCCAGGATGTGTGCGACTGAAGTTATCTTAGGCCCGCAGTTGTCGCACATATAAATACGTATGTATATATATAGAGGATTCAACTCCTCCTTCGTCACATTTTCCTTTTTAGATTTTTCACAAGCTTCTCTCGCCAGGCTTATCAGCTGTCTGCCTTTTCCAAATGTGCTGCATGAATATTTATGCCCTCGATATCGAGCACTAGCATACCACCCATGACCAGTACGTATGGCATCCGCATACCACATGGTGTTTAGGGCAAAAAAAACTGCTTAAAAGTCTGGAGGCGTCTTCAATGTCCCATGTCCTTTTGTCTCCCCGCCTGTTTACGCGGCGTATGGGTAATGCGGTGTATATTGGCAACGCGGCGTATGAGCAACGAAAGTAGAGATAGGGATATGGATAGGGATAGGGCACTTGAAGCGCCATCTTAATGCCTTGGATCAGCCCTGTTGTTAATGGCCATTCCCCGTTTAGTTGCCTATAAGTTATTTATTTATTTACTCTGACTTCTAAGACATTATTTTTTTTTTTGTCGTCTCTGTGGAGTTGGTATCGATTTTCGCCCACATCCCGTGGCCACGCCCATGCATAAAAGATAACACCCACTCAACGATTACGTCGTACAGACAATAACAGTAAATTGAAATTCACTTGAAGCGGTTAATGGGACCGGGCTTTGTTATCGGAAAAACTTTGATATTATATGTTTTTGTTTAGCTCCATGGGGAACTTACATTATTATGATAATTGGCCGCATTTACTTTACAATAATACCCGGTATGATAACAGCTTTTCATTACATATAGACTTGAGTGTGTCAAGCCTATTCTTGTTTTTAGATATTACCCTTGAATCTTATAAGATAATATATAATATATCTATAATCATAAATTGACAAGAATATAACCATTTGTTAGAAATATGATGATATTTGTAAGTAATAAGAACGGAAATCTTTTCCCATTCTCGAGAGTAATATAATAGCTGTAAGGGAAAACAGATTTAAGCGGCTTCCTATTTTAATCTGGTTGCTAATCTGATTTGCGGGAATTATCATTCCACAATCCCAACCGATTCCCCCTTCTTACCCGATACGCTGATAACCGCTTGCGGCACTAATCCGATGATAAGCAGCAGGAAGGAGCAGCCGAGTGTGCTGCGTATTGGTCCCATGTTGGTTCTTCGGAGGCTCTACTGTACACTTGGCGGCCGTGTGATAATGTTTTTGCCTAAGTGCTCCGCTGAATTATTAAATTAAATTGCTGTTTATTCGGGTTTGCTGTCGCGCGAATGTTTGCACTGGGCTCTCTGTGTTGCGAGCGTGTAATCATAATTATTTTAAATGGCAGTCAAGTGGTTGGCCAGCAAAAATGGCAACCGGAAACATCATCATAACATCGTAACATCATAACAAAAAGGCCAACAGTAACTCAAAAGTAGGCAACTGTTTTCCGCTCGCAAATAATAAATAAAGTTTATGCGCGCGAAAACGTCAGTTTAATTGGTTTCATGTGCATTCAAGTCTTTCCTTTCAAGCGTTCAAATTCAATTTATGTACTGCCTTTATTAATGGTTCCATTTTTTCTTGATATTTTAATGGTTAATTTGGCTATTATTCAGTTTATAAATATTTATTGGGCAGCAATTCTTTTGTGCAATTTTTTTAATTTAAAAATACCATTTTATTTACCACGCTTTTGTTTATTAAATAATTGAATTGTAGAAAAATGTGGCTAAATATTTGCCTGTATTATCTTTACTTTAAATAAACCCTTTCAATAGCGAAATGCTTTCACAAACTGCAGGATTTCATTTATTTTTTATGCCTTGCTCTTATTGTTTGTTCAGTTTTCACATTTTCAAGGCATTTAACGCTTTAATTAAGCCACTTTTTTCTTGTCTGCTTGTCTGATTTTTGCTGAATAATTATTAATGCGGTCGCTTTATCAGAACTTCACATAATCCTCGCTTGGATACCTTTTTTGTTTGGGGAGTTGAGTTAAGCCGAGTCGAGTGTTTACATTTAATTGCAATTTTGTACTTTGACATGACGGCAGAAATTATGACGCTCACAAATTCTCACACAACAGGGAATTTTAAATGAAAACGAATAAATATAATTAACAATTATAGCGGATTAAAATACAGGGAAAGTGTGAAGATTTAACTTGATCGATTGGGACTGAAATTTGAAATGCTACTCAAGTGGCATTTTCTGGGTCCTTTAACCTGCATTCGGTGTCAAGTTCATGTAATCCAATGCAAAACAAAAACGAAATCTTGGCTAAATCAAAGCCGAATTATGCCAGACCGTAAAGAGCATTTATAAAGAGATGCTCCACCGAAAAAAGAGAGTGGGCGAGTGGTCCAAAATGAAAATGTAATAAAAAGTGGAGCGCAGAAGCGTGAAAAAAACACAAAAAACGGAAAAGCGGAAAACACTCGCACACACACACACAGGAACTGCGGAAAAGCTTCCGTTTTGGGGGAAAAGCTGCTGTTGCTTTGAACGCGGATGCCTTTTGATGTTACCGCCAAAGGGACGCCAGCAAACTGTTTTCAACTGTCTGTCTGCTCACGTTTGTTGCCTTGCCATTGAATTTTCCTGGCCAACAACAGATGTTTATATATATATTGTATTTTATTATATTTCATAAATTTTTAATTTTTTTAAGTATTTATTTTCTTATAAAATCACTTTGAACTTGTAGAACGGGGTTACTTTTTTAATATCTCACAACTTGTCTTTTACGAATCTGTTTATTGTTTGCCGCCTCGAAATCCTGAAATCACAATTATCCTGGCCGAAGAGCCCTCACGTCCGTTTCTTTGCAGAGTTCGACGCAAACTGAGCTCTGTTTGGACCCCATTTCATTTTACCAGATGTAGTCGGAACCCTTGTATCGCAGACTCCGCGGCAGAAGCTTGCACTCAAAATGATAAGAGTTCCACTCAAAGCTCTCACTCACAGGTTAAATCTCACTCAAATCAATGAGTCTTTGGATTGCAACTCACGGGAATTTTAATATAATCCATCTAATCTTTGTGCGCAATTAAAGTGGGATTTGTCAAAACAAAAATCCCGAACCCAATTGACCCTATTCCACTATGAAAATAATCTTAAGTGCTGTAAGTGTCGCCTCGTTATTAAAGGCGTAGAGTAAGTTCCTGATTAGGTTCAATTCGTCTACTAAAGTCCCCCGATTATTCTCTAAAGATCCGGCAGAATCTGCTTCCATATGTGTTTTAGGTCAAGTTTAAACTGCTTTTCTTTGTTGTCTTAACTCGACTTATTTTCTTCATTTTGTTCTACAGTTCTTAAGGCGTCATTTTAAGCTTCTACAATAAAAATGCGGAAGATATGTTTTGAATTATGTGAGGGGAAATACCCATAGACTTCTTCAGATATTAAAATTACACTGAAATGCTTATTCGCCTGAATTCGGAATTTGTCTTATATATATTTCCGGGACTTCGACAGTGTGAGAAAAAATTTTTCAACTAGATTGTAAATTTCCTTATTAAAATTTTAAGGAATGAATTATATTTCAAGGAATTCTAAAATGTTGTTTTAGATAAATTTTCAACCCACTGGCATTCTAATAAAATTTAGGAGAACAATGCAATATTTTTGTTCTATATATTTCGGTTTCCATAACAGTAGTAAATTGTATTCATATCAATATACATGTGTTGTATATTATTATAACATCGATTCTTAAATTAATTTTGGTAATGTTTATTTGTACAGCAGCCAAATAAACGAAAAGGAAATAATAGTTTTCTAATCACTAGTTTGCCAATCTGTTCAATCTTTTTGTAGTCTAAGTATTTTATTTGTAAAGCATAATAAATTAGATTGACAAATTAGGCTTGTCAAAACATTCGGTGCTATCAAGTAGATGGAGCCATCAAATCGTATTGAGTTTTTAGTTGTTTGAGTGATAAAATCCATTCGATTTGAGCACCTTGAAGCCAGTTTAAAGCTGATGCAATGACTTAGTTAAATTGCTTGCAGTGCCCCTAAATTAGACTCAACTCGACTGTAACTGGGTTGTTGGGTTGTTGGTAAATTACCAGGCGTGTGTTCGACTTAAGACCCCCTATGCTATATATAATTGTGGCTCAGCTGAGTTCTGTGCTTAAAGACTAAGCCCTGGCCCAATATTTACGGCTGGCAGTGTTTGGAGCACTGCTGCCCGAAAGTAGGCAATGGTGGATTTTTATTTTGGAAACCCCAGGCCAAACGAAGTCAACGAACCGTGGATCGAAACAGACTGGTCTGCTAAACCAAACTTAAATTAAATGCAGAGGCTAATAGGAAAAAAAAAGAGACAAGCCGACAAACACACTCGGCGTGTAAAAATTAAATGAAAATAAACTCGAGGAGCCAGAGGATTTCGGGGGAATTCCGAGTCCTGCCTACATGACACTAAATAAACAGCCAGTTGTTACTTACTCAACAGCGAAGCCAAACAAATGGCTAGAGCACAGAAACACCAAAACACAAAAACACCAAAACCAATACGAGGGCAAACAGCACACGCAGAGCGAAGTAAATGGTTAGTTCTGTGACATTTCTAAATTGAAAAACTACAAATGACTGACAACAGATTAGAGCGAGAGCGCACGTAGTTCGCAGGCAACAGCTGGGTTTTCAGGTCCTGCCAGCGCCGTAAATCCCTATCCCAATAGCAAACCCAATACCGGACCCAATTCCATGGCCAGCGCTTGACTTTGTAGGATATGGCCAGCTCTTGGCCATGGCCACACACATAAGAAAAATAAACAGAAAAATGGAGAGGAAACAACACCATCTAGGGGTAGAAAAAAAATTGGCAAAACTTTCCTTTAAAAGGCTCTGGCCAAAGATACAGCCAGAAAAAATAAGGCTGCAAATACATTTTGCGGCTGTGGCTGTTGATTTCCTTCAAGTGCGCCGTTTTGTGCAACCTTTCGAGTGTATTTGAATAAGACAACAGCTGAAGTGAAGGCCTAATCAAAGCCGGAAAGATACAAATTGTAAGAAATGGGAATTGAGAGTGGCAGGGACAGAGCTCGAAAAGAATTTCGGCTGATTTATTTGTGCAAATAGAGGTAGCTACATGATGAACTCGAGGCAGGGATAGTTGAAAAGGAATTCGTTACTCCAAAGAAATTTACAGAATTTTTAATCGGAAGATTGGAAATGTAGGTACTTGAAATTGATTTTCCACAGTCAAAAAAATATTTTTTTTATTATTATTATCCATTTACAATATTTAGAATATATTGTTGCAAAATATAATTGGTGTCTTGAAAACAATAGAAAGGTAATATTAAAATTCTTCAAATGACCCTTTTTTATATATGTCATAGTTATAGAGTTGATACCAGTATTATTGGCTGCTCTAAAGCGTAAATATAATTTATACGCATACAATAATATTAAGAAAAACAAAAGAATCTTAAGTAAGAATCTTGAATATTTTGAATAGAATTTTATATATCTCTAAGTAACATAGTTATTAAGTTGAGACCACCATTATAAAACCGCCTAAAGTGGTGGTCTCAACTTAATAACTATGTTACTTTAGGGTAAAAATCAACTTTAAGCCCCAAATCAGTGTAGATAATTTCTAAATTAAGATAAGATTTTTCTCCCAGTGCACTCACCTGTGAACTTGCACTCCTCCAGTCGCTCATCGCTGTGGTCCGGACAATCGGAGGCCCCGTCGCACACGAACCGTATGGGGATACACTGTCCGGAGGAACACTGGAACTGCTTCTCATCGCAGTAGTTGGACAGACCGAGCGCTGCAAAATCAAATGCGTATTAATTAATTAAGCTGAAATCCTCGGGTTAGCCGCAGACTGTAATTAAACGGAAATGGGAGATGGCGGCGACCGTAAGTTGGAAGAAGAGTTCTGTCCCAATGGGAGGGCCTAATAAAATTCATAACTAAAATTTAAGTTGAAAACTTTGGCTCGTTAAGCACGCACTGAGGAAACGAGATGGCGATGGTTAGATGGGGAAAAGGGGCTGTTCAAGGCGTTTGTTGACAAGCCTTAAAACCCTTTTTAATGAAAGCCGAGACTTGACAATAAACAAAAACTTGTAAATAATGAAATCCAGCCGAAAGGGCGGGCCTTCACATGTCTATGGGTATGTCTATACATAAATGTGGGTGTTACTGCGGTCCAAGTTTCTGCGGTGGACCCAGAAAGTTTTTGGGGAATTAATAAGCGAGAATTTGATGGCGGCTAGTTGGAAAGTGTCGGATGGGATGGCTTCATCAATCGTTTTACGGCCCACTTGACATTTCACTCGGGCGCCCCTTTATATATCCTTAATTTTCTCTTGTCTTTTGTTCGATTAGCATATAAGCTAGGGGCCAACCGACTTTCGGTTAATGTGTTACCATTATGCCAAAGTATCTCAGTTCTGCTTGGAATTTGAGGTGAGTTTGTGTGTGTGAGACGGTCTATCCGCGTGCCATTTACCGTTTAATTGCGCGCATTTAACACAAATTGACAATTGCTTGGGAGACGTCACAATCACGCACGAGCTCACCCAGAAAGTCACACACACCTACAAAAGAAAGGGTGGACCTTAATTGTAGGCAATGGATTTATGATCCTACAAGGGTAGAACATAGAACTGTTTACAAAATTATTTATTATTTAGGTGCATTTTAAAATTTTAATAAGCATTCCATTTGGCTGATAATTTACTTAAACATTTAAGGGGGATTCCAAAGCATATTTAAAAGTATATATTTATCAAAAATAAAAAGTAGGTACTTATAAAAAATCGCTCTATACTGCTAGCGATCTTTGGCCTACTTGGCGTATAAGTTATTTTTGCTCACACCTAAGATGAAGTCACCAAGTCTGGTAATTAAAAAAGGAATTTTTTGCTAGAAATGTGAAAAGTAATTATTCAGGGCAATCAAAGTTGTGGCTTTAAGGTTAATTTTAAAATGTTGAAGGATTGTGTAAGCTTTTCAAAATTTAACTCACATTGGTCCACTCCTTTTCACACACGCTTACGCATTTAATTACCAAATCAGAACTGTCATGCAATGCCCTCAGCACACACACACACGTCCAGAAGGACACACACACTCTCACATTTGACAAGTGTTTGTGTATCTGTGTTAGCTGTTCATTAACATGGGAAATTCAAGACACACAAGGCTTCAAATTCCTCCTTTAAACGCTTCAGAGTTTTTTCGCTGATTGTATATTTTCCGCTTGCTTTTCCCACGCCCCTAAAATTTATGCATTTTCTTTATGCCTGCATGTGTATTTATTTTCCAAAAAATATATTCAACGCCCCCATTTTCCGCTCGTCTTTGAAGCTTTTTATTCTTCTATGTGAGCTGGAAATTTTTTATTAGTCCCCCTAAATTATTAAAAATGTGCGCACACATTTTGAATTTATAAAGAGTTTTTTGTTTGCTCCTGCCGTGTGCACTTGTTTGGTGCTCAGAAATTGCAATTGTAGACAAATCTGTATGTAAATGTGCAATGCAATTTGCACTTTAAGTGAGTCGTTTAGTAGCTTAATTGAAATAAATATTAAAAGAGAATGCCCCTTATCCAATCCATTTGACAGGGCTTAGATTAGTTGGTATAGTATTCACAACGAGTGCAAGCAAACCGAAACTGAATCTAAATTGGTTTCATCTCCTTTCTGCATTCTATTTATTTTTGCATTCCCAGAAATATTATATATATTTTATGGCTGGCAATTGGTTAATGGACACACACAACGTATTTTCTTTGATTCGTTCTCGCAACCCAGTTATCGTTTTCATCTGTCAGGCTGGTTTATTTTAATTCACAAAGGTGAGTAAAAGCATGCGTTTAAAAGGCTTAAAAATACTTTGCGGCGATTTTCTTAATAAAATGTGAAATTATACTGCAAACGGAATTTTTAATTATACCTGAATGGCAGGTTGTTATTTAAGTTGAATATATACAGTTTATTAAATATGGAAAAATAACAATGCAGGCTTGAATCTTTTGTTTGATGAACATTAGTTTCTAGAAAAATATATCTGTGAGGCTTCCATAATAATGTTTTCTTTGAAATCTTGTGACTTGTTATAATTTTCTTAAATTTGTTTTAATTAAGCTGAAATGTGAGGTTATTATCATTGAATAAAAAGAAAGCACAGTACAAAGTTGGATCTTTTGTTAATGGAATATTAGTTCCTATAAAAATATATCTTTGGAGAGTCTATAAACATGTTTTCTTTGAAATCTAATGCTTTTTCAAAGAGAATTCCTTTTCATTTTCCTCTGCAGGCATTTATTTCCACGGCAATTCACCCAGTTCTACCGACCAGCTATTTAATACAAATTAAATCAGTGGGGCAATAATTTCTGGTGTGTTCCACAAAGACCACAGCCATGGAGCAGCTGCCTCCATCGGTAATAGCCGCCAATTTGATTGACAGAATCACAAATGTCCGTCCAATTCAGAACTCAGAAGCACAGAAGCGACGGCAGGCAACTGGCCAATTAAATGCTTAATGCGAAGTTCATTGAACAGTTTTATTTTTACTTTATTCCTCGCTCTCGTCCAGGAATCAATCAGAAGGGAAAGTGCTGGTCAAGAGTGTTTCACATGAAAATCTCGCACCATTAATTCAATGACAGCAAAGGGCATGACAGGAGGGCTGTCTTGGTTGGCCAAGAGGGCGAAATAATAAACAGAAATCAGCGCAGAAGTCAATCAGAGTTCAAATCAATATAAATGCTTTATTAATGGCCCGAAAGGTTGTCGATGTTGATGCCAAAGCCAAACCCACGCCCAAGTCCCTCTTGATTTGATTACGCCTGCAATCCTATTAATAGTCGGTGATTAATCACTGATTCGGCCATGGTCAACTACGCCGCAATAACAATAGATAATTACGCAAATTAAGCGAAATTTTTCCAGTCCGCTTAGATAAAATGGCAAACCAGCGAAATATGATAGCGGAAACTTTGCACCTGAACAGGCGTTCGAACATCGAAGTGATAAGATTATTTTACGCAGCGGTTCAAAGGGTTTAATCATACTTTTGTTGACTATACTATAAACTATTTACGGACTGGTACAAGCTATTTAAGGATGGTTCAGTTACCTAATTGAGGGACCCTTAGGTTCTTTACCTAATCAAGTGGTCATTAAACTTGTGTAGTATACCTAAACTGCTTATTTAATGCTTTAACTTTTAGTTTACTGTGTTTAGTTTAAATATTTACATGTTGTTAAGCTTTAGTCCTCCTACAAAGAAGAGCTTTAACTATTTTTGGGTCAGTTGAAAGGTACATTTACTTAATTAGGTGCTAACAATAACCATTAGGTTTATTACTTTTGCTTGCTGTTTATGGTGTTTGTTAATTTTATAAAGTTGCACTTTGTAGAGCCCGACAAGAATATTACACAGTTAAGCTTAAGTTGGGAAGTGAAATTTAAGATTTAATTATAGGCACTCAAAAGGTCTATTAAACTACAGTAATTACATTAGAAAACTTATATCATCTTTTCAAAAACACCTTTTAATCCTTTTTTCACACTACTATTTCACTAAATAACGCAATTCTAATCTGACATTCTGAAAGTTAAAAAACTAAATAATCTCTTGGTTATCTGACTATCTGGAAGCGCCTCCTGGTCACTTCAGATAAGACAGATAACCTCTTGAGTGGTAAAAAAGCAAAACTAAAAAACACTATCTACAGATATGAGTACTAGGATTTGGCAGACACCTTATCAACGCCACGTAATGTTTTGATACCGATTCAAATGGTTATTGTAGATTTTATGGCTTGAATAGATTTGGACTTAGTCATAAATTCAATTTCTAGGTAAGCGGAATATTAATAAATTTTGTTATCTTACAAGTGTCTATAAAAGTCATTACTACGTAGTAGGTTTTAATTATAAATTTCCTAGTCGAGCATGAGAAGCAGAAAAAAAAAAAAAAGTATCAGATGAGTCAGGAAATAGTTTTGTTATAAGCAAAGAAATAAGAGAAACCTTTATAATGATATTGAATTTATAAAAACCACTTTTATCTGATAGACTACTATCTCATAATTATAATAATTTCGTGTGATTTTTTTCCACTGCTGTGCAGATAACATTTGGGTTGATAAAAATGGTTAGCTTTGCCTTCACGATAAAGAGTAATCAACAAATAATTGTATAATCATATGAATGTGAACATTGCGCTTTGGATATCAACCCGTACAGTTTGCACTCGCTTTTGGGTACCGCCAACTCCAAAGAGTCAAACGTTTATAAAAGTTAAAAACCGAAGAGAAACTATTAAGAGTGCTCTTAAATGTTGTTTAAAAAGAGATGTGAATTCATTCGGTATGCTTCAGTACGAGTATCTTGTTATTGTTGCTGTCTCAGTTTCGGTTTAATGGGAAAAAAGGTGGCCTGATCGCTAACGTCATAGCCCGACGAAAACAGTCAAACAACATTATTATTAACAACAATAACAATTACTCACACATCTGTTTGGCCAAAGTTGTATGGGCGGCGCAAAAATGGCATTAAGATGACTCAGTACTATCTGCTAATAATGAATGATGTTCCCTATATTCTCTGGGAATTTCGCCAACGTCATCAGCTGTTTGCTGTGAGATGTAGCGCCAGGCGATAGTACACAGCTTCCCCCTATAGAATATCTAATGAATGCATTTTCGTACTCTCTGTACAATGTGATTATTCTGGGAACTTTTTGACAACCCAGCTAATGGCTAGCCAACACATCACGCCACCTTTTTGCCTTGTAAATGAATTTGGCTCGGCTACGCTGCGTATGCGTAATATTTTAATTGAAGCCCCGAAATAGAAAACCAATTGGAAAAGAGAAATTCACTGGGATATGTGTGGGAAAAAAGCAGAAAATCGTAGCTTTGACCATCACACCTTTTGACCAACATTGAAAAAATTGCTAACACCGTTTGATTGTGTTTTGCATGCATCGCTTATGAAATTTGTCACTCGAGCACGAACAATTGCAGTGCATTTATTTGGCTTCCATTAGTGGTGGTGGAAATGGAAACCAGTTTTTAACAAAAAAAAAAAAATAAACACAAAAGAAAATGGTTTTTTTTGTGCCCCATAATTATACATAATGGCAAATGTTTTTGTAATTAAGGCAGTCGCAACGAAAACGAAGCAAGTTGCAGTCCAAGGGACCAAGTTTTGTATCAGGCAAAGTCGAATCCAGAGCACGTGCAAATTCCAGGCATAATTAGCCAAGTTAATTATAAATGTCCCGGCCAAGTTGGGACGACTGGCCGACAGAGTTTCTGGACAGGCGATGAGCAAACTTGTTTAAATTCGATTTTGAAATAAATCAGCTCGGCCAGGAAGTCGATGCCTGGGAAACTTACGTTCGAAGGCAGTCATTAAAGCTGTCAAGGACGTGCCCAGAAGTTGCTGCCAAATGAGAGTTGTCAATGCTGTCCTGACAGAGTAATTTTCGATTTTGATTTCGATTCCGATTTAGCTGGCTCCAAGTTTAGTTGGGCGGAAATAAATGTCATCTGGGCTGCCGTGACCTATATCCCCTATTTAAAACTGTCTAACGATTTATTTGACACAGGAGCTTGTGCTTTTATTGAAACTGTCAGAAGGTACAGCGAAAATGCATTTGCTCCTGGGAAATTGCTTATCTTTTTAGCCAGCAACTATTTATAACGGCTAAAATCTTTCTGTCATAGATGGCAAACTACCTGCATAATTGGCTAGTCCCACTTTCAATCATCCACTTTTAACCTTTAAGCTACGCTTAATATCATGACCCAGCGTTATTCATTTTGTCTTTAACTTTGACATTCGTTGGCATAAATTCAAAGCGTTAAGAGTCTCAGCTTTTTCTCAAGTTGAAGGTTTCATTAAAACTTAAAAACAAGCTCGCTTGGAGTCCGTCGTTTTGTAATTCCCTTACTGGAGACTTAAAGGCACTTATAATTCATCAATCATTTTCATTTTCGTTTTCTTTAATCAAATGTTTTTAAAATTGGTACACTCAGAAAAGTATTCGGCCTGAATACATTAATTGACTTTTGTCTTAGTTGTTTGCTTTACTAGTTCTATAAAACTGGGGCCTGCATTTTAATGAACGTCTATTGAATTATAAAATCCATACTCTTCTTTAAATTTGTATAAGATACCGAATTTAGCATATCCATGTATGCAAATGATTTACGTAGGTCTTAAAGCAATACGCACATGTAAATTATCATTGCTTTAACAGAAACAGCTGCTTTTAAAATATTAGTATACAAGAAAATGATATTTAGCAAAATCCTAGCCAGAATTCACAACAAGCCAAGCTTTCAAAATGTCATAAAAAAGTCTTTATAGTTCCTAATGTTTATGTTTTAAGAAATTAACTGGAAAAGTCAAGTCAGAGGTAGGGTTCAAAAATGCTTGGTTTTATTGGGTTGTAATATTACTTACTAACCCCGTGAGCTATTAAATTTAGCTTAGCAATAGGAAATGTTTATAAATAGATCGAGGCATTTCCAGTTTTCATCTGCCACGTGCTGGAATCAATTTAAAAGTAACTTTGACCAATGTGCAAGGCCAAGAAACTTCAAGAATCATACACTTGTTGCTCTTTTCGTTCTCTTCTTCCCTGTCTACCACTCTGATTCTCTCCTCCTCTCTCTTTTTCTGTGTTTTCTCTGCGGGTTTCACAAGAGCCGCCGGAGTTGGAGTCTTCAAGTGGCGCTCCATTCGCTCCATGGAGCGAAGCCGGCCGGTAGAAAAAATAAGCATAAAACGGAATAATTATAAGGGGAAGCAGAACAAGCAAAGACCGTGCACTGAGCGAAATGTATTAAATCTACCAAAAATTTCGCATATAAAAAAAAAATAAAAAAAATATTTTCATTCCCCATGGTAAACTAAACTCTTGGTTTATAACTATACTAATTTGGGATAAGAATTATACATTCTTAAACTGGTGTCTTTTAAAAAATACATCAATGCAGTCTTAATAGGAAAATGTATATTTTTGAAGATTGCATAAATATTCAGTTCACAATAGAACTTTTACATTGTTTCGTAAATGTTTTTCACTGCTGATCGCCGAGAAGTATGCAATGATTTTTACCAAATGAAGCCCGCTTAGCACCTCACTAACTTATAGTAACCAAGCCAAGAAATTAAATCGAAATAAAAATTAGATATAGTTTCTGAAACCCAAACTTATTGGAGCTGTCGTTTAAAAAATGCACCATTAAGTGCAAAATAGGATAATATATTTATTTCAGAAAAGAAACTATCTTCGTAGTTTCGTCACTGCCTATCTCCAAAAAGTATGCAATGATTTCTACCAACTGAGAGTCGCTAACCACTTTATCATCTTATTTTGTTGAAGTTAAGAAAGTACATGGTTATAAATAAATTATTTATTGATACGCAACCTTTTCGACTCTTATATTTTGTAAATTATTCCCAGTGTAAGCAGAGGCGAGTGCAGAGGAAAGTAAAAGGTTTCTGCCGACACTAAAAAAAAGAGGGGAAAGGAGTCGTCGGCAGGGGGAAAGGGGGCCGAGTTTGCAGTCTGAAAATCGTATGACGTTGTGGAATGTTGAGACATGGAAATGGAAGTGGAGTTTACTGGCATTGCCAGACGCTTTGGCTTTCGGCTGGCCACAAAATTCACATAAATAAAACTTGAGCCGAGTAAGTCGGAGTCGAAGTCGGAGCCTTAGCTAAAATCGGAGCCGGACTGGAAATCGGGGTATAAGCATATACACATGAAGCCGTGGCTGGTGGCATGATCGCCAGAAATGCGAGTGGCGGCGGCAACAACAACAAACACCGCCGCCCCTTACACTCGGAGAAATCGAAGAAGATCTGATAAAATCAGAACGTGAATGGAAATCAATGTGTCACTAATTAAGATTAAAGATAAGGTTTTCATCAAGGTTTCTTTTATTGTTGTGTTGACTGAAATTGGCTCTCCATTACTCATTATTATTATATTTTTTATCAATTAAGCTTCTCAGCAAATATGGATTTGTAATTGATAATGCTAATCGCGATTTACTTTGAGAAATAGGTTTACCGTTTTTGAAATGACTCATATTTTTATGGCTGAAAATCACTTAAGCTTGCTATAAAAATATGAGTACAACTTGGGTTAGTTTTATAAAGTACTACTACTACTACTATAATTATTATATTGTGGTTCTTGTTGTAATAATAGAGTATTTTTAGTTAAGTCAAAAATTTTTATTAATTACAGTCTTCATATTCATACAGAAGTCAAAATAAGGAGTGATACTGATACCTGATTCATCAATATAGTCCTGAACGGTTTGTGTCACAACAAAATGTAGAACTCTTAATGAATCATTAGAATAAATATTTGATAACTTGTTTGTGGTATTCCCCCAGAATAGTAATAATATAATAATAATGTTCCATATAAGAGTCAACGATTTATCTTAAACCATTATAAGTATAAAATGTTGATAAATTGTTTGGGGATTCCCCCAGAACGAAGACTTCTCAAACTATTTCTTTCGCTGTGAGCCTGTTCTCAAGACATTTCCCACTTTTATAGTCAGGAATAAATCAAGTGGTTTGAGTACTTACATACATCCAGTGGTGTGCCGATCTTGCCGGAGACGTTCAGGAACTTCAAGGGATTTCCGTTGAACACCGAGTTGATGGAGTTGCCAAAGTTTCCCATTCCGATGCCCATTCCCGATCCGATTCCAGGACTTATGCTGTTGGCCGCCGCCGGAGCCAAGTGTTTCAGCTGATCGAGGGTCGGCCCAAGAGTACTGGCTTTCAGGCGCTCCAGCAGTGCCGATCCGCTCAGATTGTGCATTATCTCGCTGGCGGTGGGCGTGGCGGCCGTGACCTGGGCGGCATTTACCGCTGCCGCATTGCAGAACTTGCTGATGCTCAGAATGCAGGTGATGAAGAGCAGGTGGAACGATGAGGTGAAACTGAAGCTGATCAGCTGCTGCACTTTACTCTGGTAATGTGTGCTGGCGCTGTAGAAGAACCCACTGGGTTTGGATGGTTCTCTGTGGCTAATGGTGCTGCCGCCACTTTCATTTGTTCTTAAATCTGGCTCTGGGATTTGAAAACTTTCCGTGTATTCCGGCAGACAGGCTGTGGCCATCTTTTGCAGCTGCTAGAATGTATGGTAAGAATGCACTTTAGGCTCAGTGGGTCACACACGTTTTTCACTCTAATTCGAATTGCCAACTTATTTATATACCACAAATCTTATTAAATAATAAAAGTCCAAGCAAACACACGCAACGGTTGCCAAAAAAAACAGAAAAAATCGAAAAAAATTTCTCAAAAGTGAGAGAATGAATCGAATGTATCGGAAAGAGAGTGCAAGAAAGAGGCGGTGATAAACATGCTGAAAAAGACTCGACCGAAAAAGAAACATCATACGATGTTGCGAAAAAACAGCATAAGAGCAATGGAAACACGAAATACACACACAAAAAAGTGCAAACTAAGGGCGACGACTTTGGTCAAAACGAGGGTTAAACCTCCTGCTGTCTCTGTCTTCCATGACAGTGCTGTCTCTTTCTTTCCTTTATTTGAATATATCAGCTATCAGCTCTGTAACGTGTGATAAGCCCAGGCAAACCCAGGTAAGTCATGCGAAGCCCCTGCCCATTGACACCATTCCCTTTTCCGAATTTGTTCTGTTTTTTTCCAAATCTTTTATTTATTTTATTTTATGGCAAAGGCAAAACACATGTTTTATGCTGTTTTTCACATGACATATTGACGTAACGTTTGGCTAAAATAGATTCGTACATTATTTTTCAATTAACACTTTTTTCCGCTCGACAAATGCGATGAGCTGGCCCCAAAGTCGCGGCTTGAACTTTTTTTTTATTTGCTTTGAACTTTTGCTTTCCGAAACTTTTTGCGTTCCGAAATTTCTCGGTTTAACGGAGAAGTTATATCCAAAGCATGGGGCGGATACTGGATATGCGACTTGCGACGACCTAACGGCACGCACTGCGATTACGGACTGCCGGTAGAGTATCATTTTTTAAGCGAGTTCGGCACCGGCGGACCAATGGCACTGTTTTTTCGCCTTCGGAAGTGCTCGTTTTTCGCTCGGCAGCGAACCGAAGATCGCCACGCGTACAAGATCTTACCTGTCAAAAAGAAGAAAAGAGCGCGAGAAGAGCCAGTGGCCCCCACATGAGCCGACGTCATCAGTGGAGAGGCCCCCTGAAGAGAGTGATCGATCCCATTTAACCAAGTGATCACAAAGCCAAAGAGAAGATCACTTTTCAGCTGACATTGAAACGGGGCTAGCAGGTGGTTCTCTCTTTCGCCGCTCTCTTAACCCGTGTAACAATAAATTTTGGAGGTGTGTTCCGTTCCATTATTTGTCGTTCTAGGGCCAATTAGTGGGATAGGCAATTTCCGTAATTAGAGGTATAAATGGTTTGTTGACATGGGTCAATCAGTCAAGGCTTCGATAGAAAACAATAATGGGATTTTTTATTCAAAAACACCTGTGTCTCCAATTGATCAATTGCTTGGGAAACGAATATCGAAATACACGAAGAGAACACTAGATAATTGTATTCCCCAAGTCAAAGAGGATGCTCAAATTTTACATATCAAAAATAAATCTGCTAAGGAAAATAGAACAAATACTTTGACGTTCAAATTAGCATTCCCAAAACTGTAAAGCGCTCTTAGCAAGTATAAATGCTAACAAAACATTGTAATATAATTCCACAAACTTTATAAGGGGATTCATCATAAAAATTACTCTCGCAGTAAAGGAAATTAGAATACTCATATGTGCATTTTAAGCACGTACACTTTTGTACCTACAAATTGACCAAAATGTTACAAATTTCGCATGTGTTACGTTCTCATCTGAGTTGAAAATGTTCTTAAAATTTTAACGATATTTTGAAGATACACATTTTTTGGCGGTACTTATGTACATTGTATATCTCAACAAATAAACTATTAGACCAGTCAATAATGTATATCTATAAAAAAATTGTTAAATAAACTCAATATAACTTTTCTCTTCTCACCATTTCGTTCTAACATTGAGAACATTGATACCAAAATGGACGTACACAGTTTTCAATAACGAATATTTTCATTTCAAGAACAATGTGCTTGAATTTTTCTCTCTATGTAGAAATGTGCATATTAAACAACTTTTTTGTTCGATTGGATAAATCTAAAAAAGAAAGTTACAAATGAATTACTTACTTATCCATTAAAGATTTACCTTTTAAGATATTAAGCCCACCCACCAAGCCACACATAATAAAGACCACATGAGTATGCTACACATAAGTATATTCTGAGTTTATTATTCTTCATATTTTTTTTAGTGGGGAAACATATACATATGTATGTACACTTAACAAATACAGTTAACAAAAGGCTAATACGTATGTAGTAATAATGGTAATATAATAAAACGATTCTGCTCCTCGACAACAGAAATATAATTTCTCAACTCTCTCTAATAGTAGACCGACCATAAGCATTATGATCCTTTTGTCATGTTTACGTATAGTAATGTTAATTTGCTTCATTTAAAAATAATGCACACTTACAGCTATATACAGTTTGGAACTATGTAATTTATAATTAGCAATTAGATTTCACTTAAACATCTCATTTTTGTGTTTTACGTTTCTCGTTACTGTAATTTTATTTTTTGTTTTTTTTTGTGATAGAACTCTGCGACATAGTATTTTGTACAGCATCCTTTGAGGATGCGCCCCAAGGTGACCCGTCGTCCTTGCCGTGCCTTAAAATTTTAAAATTTAAAATAATTAATTTACACAATACACAGAGTTGCTCAGTCTTCAGGCGTGTGTTTTTCTGCCGCGGGTCTCGAGTTAGCTTTGGTCATTCAATTTGTCCAGCGACCAAGCGAAAGAATCATCCAATTCACATTTCACACGATTCCAAAGGAATCAATCTAATACGAGGATATGCCTATGACGGGGGAGTACTGTAAGAAAAAAGATAGAATGATATATCATTATTAATAAAAACAATATAGTTTCATGAGTTTTTCAAGGATAAACTATTATTTTTTAGCTTTTAAAAATCTATAGTTAAGTAAGTAATAAGTACTATAACCCACCTCCTCATCCATGACACTGGTGTGATCGTAAATCCGTGCCGGTAGGTTTTTCCGGAGACTGAAATGATCCTCTGTGGTGGTGGTTTTGCGGTAGATGGGATTCTCAAAGTTCATCGAGTTGATGCGTCGTTTGCTGCAGTAGCGGTAGCCAATGAGCAGGAGCTGTCAATGTCCAGATAAATTGATTAGTTTTGCCCCAGTTTCACCCTATTTTGCCACTCCCAACTTACCACCGACAGCAGGACTGCCAATCCACTGAGACTGGCTATGACCACCAGCGCAATAAAGCCGGAATCCGGCTGCTCACTGGGCGTTGTGGTCTTTTCGATTTGGGTCTGGTTCTTCACTGGACGCTGGTCGGCAACTGCGGACAAAAATTGGATCGAAATCAGAAAAGTTTTCAATACAAAACGTGGAAGCAACGAGCAAACACAGTAAACAAATAAGCGCAATTAGGTATACATTAATGGGACATACATATGTAGGAATCCAGTGTTAATTTAGGTAATGTATTTCACTTACAAACATAAAATGTTGCTTAAAAAATAGTTATAAAACATGTAACAACATACGCCAAAAAAATATAAATAAAATGTATTCAACTAACTTTTACAACAAAAATTTACATTTTAAACATTTTATTATAATGTATGATTTTTCCGTATTTCCAATGGATTTCAGTATCAGACCCCAAAACTGCACTTCTAGACTCCATAACTTGAGTAATTGGATCCCGATTTAGACGTGGGATACCTCTATGAGTTGGTGGTGGAATTATCTAATCATCTACATTCAAATTTTTCATTTAAAAGAGTGTCCAAACTTTAACCCATTTTCATGTTCGGTTTTTCTGTATTTGCAATGGATTTCAGTATCAGACCCCAAAGCTGGACTTCTGAACTCCATTACTTGAGTTATTGGAACCCAATTTAGACGTGGGATACCTCTATGAGTTGGTGGTGGAATTATCTAATCATCTACATTCAAATTTTTCATTTAAAAGAGTGTCCAAATTTTAACCCATTTTCATGTTCGGTTTTTCTGTATTTCCGATGGATTTCAGTATCAGACCCCAAAGCTGGACTTCTAAACTCCATAACTTGAGTTATTGGAACCCGATTTAGACGTGGGATACCTCTATGAGTTGGTAGTGGAATTATCTAATCATCTACATTCAAATTTTTCATTTAAAAGAGTGTCCAAATTTTAACCCATTTTCATGTTCGGTTTTTCCGTATTTCCAATGGATTTCAGTATCAGACCCCAAAGCTGGACTTCTAAACTCCATAACTTGAGTAATTGGATCCCGAATTAGACGTGGGATACCTCTATGAGTTGGTGGTGGAATTATCTTTATCTAATCATCTACATTCAAATTTTTCATTTAAAAGAGTGTCCAAATTTGACCCATTTTCATGTTCGGTTTTTCCGTATTTGCAATGGATTTCAGTATCAGACCCCAAAGCTGGACTTCTAAACTCCATAACTTGAGTTATTGGAACCCGATTTAGACGTGGGATACCTCTATGAGTTGGTAGTGGAATTATCTAATCATCTACATTCAAATTTTTCATTTAAAAGAGTGTCCAAATTTTAACCCATTTTCATGTTCGGTTTTTCTGTATTTCCGATGGATTTCAGTATCAGACCCCAAAGCTGGACTTCTAGACTCCATAACTTGAGTTATTGGAACCCGATTTGGACGTGGGATACCTCTATGAGTTGGTGGTGGAATTATGTAATCATCTACATTCAAATTTTTTATTTAAAAGAGTGTCCAAATTTTGACCCATTTTCATGTTCGGTTTTTCCGTATTTCCAATGGATTTCAGTATCAGACCTCAAAACTGCACTTCTAGACTCCATAACTTGAGTAATTGGATCCCGAATTAGACGTGGGATACCTCTATGAGTTGGTGGTGGAATTATCTAATCTTCTACATTCAAATTTTTCATTTAAAAGAGGGTCCAAATTTTAACCCATTTTCATGTTCGGTTTTTCCGTATTTCCGATGGATTTCAGTATCAGACCCCAAAGCTGGACTTCTAAACTCCATAACTTGAGTTATTGGAACCCGATTTGGACGTGGGATACCTCTATGAGTTGGTGGTGGAATTATCTAATCATCTACATTCAAATTTTCATTTAAAAGAGTGTCCAAATTTTAACCCATTTTCATGTTCGGTTTTTCTGTATTTCCGATGGATTTCAGTATCAGACCCCAAAGCTGGACTTCTAAACTCCATAACTTGAGTTATTGGAACCCGATTTGGACGTGGGATACCTCTATGAGTTGGTGGTGGAATTATGTAATCATCTACATTCAAATTTTTTATTTAAAAGAGTGTCCAAATTTTGACCCATTTTCATGTTCGGTTTTCCGTATTTCCGATGGATTTCAGTATCAGACCTCAAAACTGCACTTCTAGACTCCATAACTTGAGTAATTGGATCCCGATTTAGACGTGGGATACCTCTGTGAGTTGGTGGTGGAATTATCTAATCATCTACATTCAAATTTTTTATTTTAAAGAGGGTCCAAATTTTAACCCATTTTCATGTTCGGTTTTTCCGTATTTCCGATGGATTTCAGTATCAGACCCCAAAGCTGGACTTCTAAACTGCATAACTTGAGTTATTGGATACCGATTTAGTCGTGGGATACCTTTATGAGTTGGTGGTGGAATTATCTAATTATCTACATTCAAATTTTTTATTTAAAAGAGGGTCCAAATTTTAACCCATTTTCATGTTCGGTTTTTCCGTATTTCCGATGGATTTCAGTATCAGACCCCAAAGCTGGACTTCTAAACTCCATAACTTGAGTTATTGGATACCGATTTAGTCGTGGGATACCTCTATGAGTTGGTGGTGGAATTAT